TTAAATTATTCACAAACATTGCCCTTGTTTATAAATAAAATTAAAGATAGAGTCGAATTCTGACTCACTTTAAAAAAATAATTTTTAGGCCATTAGTTACACACTAAATTGTCAAGACAAGACTGTCAAAGTTTTTGAACTTGTGTCTAATCCTTTGACTCTTTGACAATAAAATATGTTAAAGTCACTGAATTGTCTCTGGATTTTTCCATTATTTCCCTCTCATCACACAGAAAACACGGCAGGGGATGCTCACTCTTTTAAGGCACCTGATCCCACCTCAGATGTTTTAGAGGTCCGTGTTTGGTCTTATCCTGATTTGTATTGTTTGAATGAATTTTGGAGCGTAAATACGGTTTGTTATCTACAATTATATCATTGTAACACCAAACTTTACCCTTATGTAAACTTTTACTAACAATTCTATGCTTACAGGTACTTAAAATGTCATCCGTTTCAATGCAGTTTCAGTGGGTTTTTTTCTCCAAAGATATTCTAAATAATAATTTTAAAAAAATCATTTTTTGGAGGTATGCTTTTTTTTAACAATTCAAGTAGTTTAAGATGTAGAATCTATATAGATGATGAAAATGACATTTAAAACTTAAATTAACCTTCTGCAAACACTTTTTATTTGGTAACAATTCATGTTCTTCCGTCAAATTTAGTTTTCAATGATACGATTTTTTTAATTGATTCATTTTTTAAGTAAACTCTCAAATTTCAAACTGTTTGCGTTGATCAGGTGCTGATTGTTGCATTTTTTATAAATCTTTATATATAACACAACCAATGTCAGTTATAGTAATTCTTAAGATAATCAAAAAATCATATTTCATTTCGAAACAAGTATCGTAATAATTATTCTATAATTGTAAATAATTTTTTCTCTACTTTGAATTACTTTGGAAACTATTATCTAACGTAATGGTAACAACATGGGTAATAAATAACGACATTGTCGTACTACATGTACATTGTAACGTAACTCAGAGATACATAAGTACTAATCAAAGAGAGATAATAAGATTTCTTTGCTTTAAACATACCATATACTTAGTCTAGTATTTAAGAAAGCTGAATGAACAATGCAAAGAGAGGCAAGCGTCTTTAAATTCGGGTATTAATTCAATGCTTAAAGAAGCAAAAGTGATAACCAAAGTATTGTATATTAAAAATTCATTTTTAATAAATGAACAAAAATATAAAAGTGATATTTTGATTTTTTTTTCCAGTACGGATTTCGTCATTTAGCTTCCTTATTCCGAATTCGGAAAAATCTTCTTTAAGAATTATACTTGTATCTGATCCAGTTTGCATTGGTTTTGCTATAAAACTTTGACTGCGATTACACTTTTCGAAAAAGTATGATTTTCAGACATAACACCTAAAAAGTATAACAAGAAAATTGAAATCTTGTATGAAACCACATATGTAGACGTAATCCATGTTAATTTTAACAGGTATTCCGCTAAAGGGGGAAACGTATATTCCAAAAAAAGATACATTCCTGTCACCTGAATGTAAATTTTTGTGATGATTAAAATGAATGGAAAGTAGTGGTATACATTTTACATGTATAAAAATCCATGATAAAGTTCATATTTTGAAAGTCTTTAGTTTGTATAATTGTTATATTTTTTCAGAATTACATTATTTTCATGCATACCGCGATACTTGAGACTCTCCAATTTATGAGGCAAATAAGACTTCATGTTTTAAAAATAGACTACAAATTAAACGATGCATGCTTGGGAAATAATTTGACACTGAAAAGTTAGGCCAAAGTCTGGTTTATGAATATCATTTGATGAGAGTTCAGGTAAAAAATTGGAATTACACTTTTTAAGCAAAAGCTTTTAAGTACCGCGATATAATGAGACACCAATATATATCACTATTATAGTAAGATTTCGCTTTATTTTCAGCTGTATTTGTAGTCGATTTCATCAGATTACATGCGTCATAAATTAATCATAAAATATATATTTTTCTTACTGAATATGCTTCTAGCAACGATTTCTTTCAATAAAACTATACAAAAGTTGATGAAACAAGAATTTCAGCAGTCTCGATTAAAGTCATCATTTCGTAAGTTCTATGGTTGATACAATGACCTTGTCACCAGAAAATTTATCATTGAGACGGGTGATGTTTTTAATACTAATTGCTAGCCAATGATATTTACACTGAATTGAAGACGGATTTTCCCGTAATATCCTGATCATGACAAGGAGCACACGGCGGGTGTGACCGGTCAGCTTGGGATGCTCACTCCTCCATTGCACCTGATCCCACCTCCGATGTATTGTAGGACCGTGTTTGCCCTGCTCCTATTTTGTATTGTATGGATTTTTTATATTAACTACTGTTTGTTATCTCCCTATATTTCATTCCATTAAAAAATATATACATGTTCTGAACTCTTCCCGTTTGTGACAACGGTGCTCCATACCCTTTACCACGCAGACTAAAATTATCTTTTTTACTGTAAATTCGACAATCCGGATTGGAAGTTATTTCGAAGATTAATTTTTGCACACGTTTTGATAAAAATTGAGATATAGACTTTTTCGAAAGCTTCCGCAATAAGTGGTTGTTATGTTAAAAATGTAACTTCCGTTTGAAAAAGAGTGTTCACATTATTAAACGCATCGGCAGATAATTTAGTAAATTTCCTTAAATGTAAGAGTGACAATTTGAGTCTATTTTCATGCCCACCATGAGTTGCACCATAAACCATCTGATGAAATGGAATACAAATACGGCTGAAAATATACCGGAAACTCACTATAATAGTGATACATGTATACCACTATTTTATTGGAATTTACGTCCCCACAACTGTTTAATATACCTGTATTTTATATGGTATTATTGTTTGAATGCATTTAACACAATATATCGTTATTCTAGGCCTTTCAATCAAATGCTTTGTATCAGAGGACACAGAGCATTGGCCGTCGCCCCAGTAATTCGGCAAAAATAAAACATTGATTTATGATAAATCAGTAAATGATTTTAAATAATATACCAAAAAGCCTTGTAATGAGGTCCAGACCTAAATACAGATACCTTAGAGAAAGCATGTTTGTTGATGTGCTTTTTCTAAGGTCTTTGTATTTAGAGATTGACATCCTCATAATCCTATATTTGTGTAAAAGAAGTAATAACTAAAAAAATTAAAAATAATTTTTTAAATAAATCTATAAACATTGGGCGTCGAATAAAACGAGAATCAGTAGTACATTGTAAGGTCTTTACAAAGTACCTGTGAATGCAATACTCTATACAATGATACATGTAGTACTGTGCAGAATTCATTCTCCGAGACTACTTTCTCTACGTGCAATGATACGGAGTTGTATCGTGATGCAATACTAAGCTGTCTGGAGTACTAGTATATGAATGCTTGTACCTGGAAGATGTTGATATTAAACAAGGTATATTGATTGTTCAATAATCTTTATCTATTTATACTTCAAAATTTAAAAAAAAAGGACGTCTTCAGTTCTGATTCCATTACCAGATGAGTATTAGTACTTTATAAATATCCATTTAAATATCTGTACAAATTCCATAAAAAAATTCTTATTTATTTCCAAGATCTTTCAACAGGAATCAAATGGTTGCCATTCTATATCGTTAAAACACTGGGTACAGCATTTGAGTTATAAATAAATTTTTAAACTATACATCTGATTGTGAAATAATTTATCTTCTGGATCAATCTGTAACTCTATGCTTAAGAGAGTAGCCAAGGCGGATTGAAAATGAATTTCAATCAAATACTATTCGAATGCATTGATTGTAGCAGGTATTTATTGTATAATATGTATTTATTGTATATTTCCAATCTTTAGTTTCACAGTGGTTTTACTATAATTTTAAAATGATTTGACATTTTAATAGCATGTTCCATCATCAGATTTTTTTCCTTTTGAAAGACTACATATTCAAATATGTTTATGTTGGAATACGCTAATTGTTTATAAACAGTTTGACCTGAAAAGCTTTTTGACTAAAATAAATGAAATACTATAAGCTAACTTTTATTCGCGTGCGAGAAATTTCGTCATCGCGAATACTTATCGCCGCAAAGCTATCCTAAAAGTCTCTGTCTATTATCAACAGATCCAAAGAGGCTTCATGGAAAATTAATCGTCGCAAACAAGTTTACCTCCGGTATATCGCGAAATAATAACATAGCAAATAAAAGTTGGTTACCAGTTTTTTAAATACTTAAATCTCAACAAAATTCCAATCTTTTCCATAAGGATATGTTTTGATTTACCGGTAATTTGAATATGCCCTCTACCAAAATCCATAGCATTTGATTTCTTTTATTCAGAGTTTAAGACATTTATATATTTAGTGTTATTTAAAAAAAGATCTTGACAAAAATTCTTCAGCAAACAAATAATTTTTTTTACTTTGTCGATGATTATGCCAATTTGCTGGATCCGACCGATTTAGAGAAAGATGAAAAGGTAAAAGACAATGATATGATACTATTTTATTGTTAAAAAATAATAATAAAAATTATCAGATTATGATGTCAATAACACATGAAGTACAAAAAAGAAACAACAAAAATAAATCCGAATGGATGAATTAATAGACACATCTACTGTATAATAAATGCATAAATATAGTGGAGCAAGAAACTCGACATTCTTCTGGCTTGGGCTAGTGGGTGAACATCGGTAGAGCACTGAACTGGCATATCAGAATCCAAGGTTCAAATTCATTTGGAAGCAACATACCGTTGTTATAGATTTATGGGGTATAAAAGTAAGGGAAATCACTTTTTACAATGTTCTAAATAATAAAAGTGTTAAGCAGATCATACTTTTCTGTTACAAACAAAAAATGCAATATATATGAGGGTTAACCTAGTGGAAAACTGCATGTCAAGGCCTTTTTGAAAGGGCAAAATACATAAATTCGCAGTATTTCAACTACAGACAATTATTTGAATTCGCTGTAAAATAATTCATTTGTAGATGAAAAAGCAACCTTGTCACACAAATCTACATTTACATAATTATTCATGGAAACTTTATATACTATTCTGCTGAAATGAGTTGATCCACTGAGCTGTTTTTTTAGGATGTATGTTTCTTAATTATGAAAGCACCAAGATCTATGCATGACGTAATTATTTTTTAAAAGTATGTACTGACGATGGCAAGATCTTTAAAGTGAATTTATGAAAGATAAACACAACGCATGGATTCACAACGTATCTCTCTGTGTATATTTTTCTCTCATCCTGAAAAATAAATGCAAAAATATACTGCTTACGTGATATGTCTTACTGATTTTTGAAAATGAATGATAAAACATTAAAATCTACGAAGCTACGGGAATTTGAAGATCACGTGGCAATTCTTTCTTAAACATCACTGGTGGTAGATCTTGTTCCTGGTTTGAACTAGAATTTTCTTTCGTGGATATTTCCTGTCTCTGATCTTGTCTTGATTTCATGATAAATGCCCGTGTCACCCCTTGACGACGGAAAGGCAACATGGGTCGGGCTTGCTGGAAATTTCTTGTTTCCTGTTCCGGTGGTTCGTCATCCTCTGAATCACTTTCAAAGTCCGATTCATATTCCACCTTCTTGTCCACCGGTGGAGGGAACAACTCCAAGATAGATTTACGATTCCGATTTAAAATCTCATCATATCTCTTTTTATTCACGTCAATGAGAGTTCTAGCATTTCTTTCCCTTATTTTGTCGGGTTCAATATAGCTCAGCATCTGTTTTATTTCATGCCTCAGAGCATGCGCATCGTATCTGTCTTCTAGTGCCTTCTTGTAATCCGGACTTTCAGCGATAGGATGATTTGCAATCACCTTTTTGTAAGCATCTCTTTTTTTCATAACCTCGCGAACTTTTTCCTTTTTTCTTTCCATCTGATACCTTTGAATTTCTGCGTGGCGGTTGTAAAAATTGATTTGGTACTTTTTCAACCGATTCTCCACTGTGTTGAATGCCCGGATTTTTCGTTTAGCACCCTGCGTCATTCTGATTGTTGACATAAATCTAGAGTTCTTATTAAAAGCACTAGAGTCCATATTGAGCGTCAACGATCTATTGTGTACTTGTGGCATCCTAAAAAATACAAAATATTTGATAAAATAATTGATTAGATATTTTAGCAAATTCCATAATTGATTGCCTGAATAATATGGGAACAAGTCCAATGCCATTACTCTCTCCTTCTCTCTCTCTCGTGAGCTAAAAAAAATTATGTCCTCATTAGGTCGCGAGGCTTTTCCATTTTATTAATCCGTATAAATAATCACCTGAATAAAGGATTAACCTCAAAATTATTTTTAAAGTTCAATCAGAATTACCTGAGTGATTATCAAACTATTATTGTGTTCCAAAAATCGAATTAATCTTAATAATAAATAAATTGTCCCCCACTAAAATAACACAAAATAGAAAAAAAGGTTCAATGTGTCGTCACCAGAATCCTCACTGTATTTGTTAGAAAGCAATTTCTCGTTATTCCTCAGTTAATTAAATATTTTTAAAACGTGTGTTATTCTTTACCTATCTACTTCATTCATTCACGAAAAATCCACATTATTGATAAACATTATAAACGCGCTTTTCAAAATACTGATACTGAAAATGCAAGTAAAACGTATTGACTACTGTAAACATAAAGAGTTTGAGTACATCCTGTATACATATAGTACAATGTCATTCTTCGTTTACAAAATATCAGCTTGATAATACTTACTTGGAACGTATTTTGTTCTGTTTATCCGATGCTTAATAAAAATAAAATGAAATTGGATGCATCATTTCATCTGAGAATTGTGGAGCATTGCTGTCGTTGAAATACAAACTACATTTCACTTTACTTTTTAAGCACAGAATACAAATCTGTGGTAATCTGGTATAATCTAATATGTTGGCAGTAAGCTTGTAGAATTGAGAATAAATCTCCAGTTTAAGTGTATTAACTTCACACGTCCAAAGTATATAAATCTGTACCCATACCCCATTGAACTAGTTATTAGAGTAAATAGAAAAACCGCGTGTAAATCATAATGATCGGTATTAAGCGAAATCTCTGTTTGATCTTTTGTATCAATATGCTTAAATTCTCCAAGTAGCATATTTATAATATCGAGTATCAAAAAAGATTGACACGGGTGTACAAAAGGGTGATTTGATGGTCGTAAAGTCCTTTTTTGTGAGACTTGTTATGAAATTTTCGCAAACTTTGCTTTTAATATAGCTTTAAAAGATATAACTACTGTGATCCAATATTAGACAGCAAATCTTTGTAGAAATAAATTAATGTAAATTTTGTGTACCTAAGAAAGTTATTGCTTTTTTATATTACTTCACAAAGCCAAAAATAATACCAAGAGCTGAATTTATTAATAAGGGTAGCCTTAATTATATTAATGCGATTGTTGATAATATTTTTTTTTATCAAAGCGGGTAAAATTACAGAACTTCATTTTTTTAACAGTATCGGCCTTGAAATCGCTTCTTAAAAGTTAATATTTCATATAAATTCATATAAAAAAGAAAACAAATTAAATTGTCTCAGAAATTCAAATTCAGAATAAAGTTCCTTTGTTCAAATGATTTATTTCTTGTGTTCTGGAATATTCATCTTTATTCCTTTTCTAATTCCTCTAAATGCATTATGAGAGCGAGATTCTTTTACTATTTGATTTTAAAACTTCATTGTTAACGTTTGTGTAACAAGACGCCATTACACCATGTTATTTTTTTTATTATTATTAACATTTATAATTTTCATTTGATACAAATGGATCGAATTGATTTATACTTCTGATATATTGTTAAATTCTCCTTGTGATTTGCTGTATGGTTGTCCTATCATAAAAAAATATTCTTTAAAAATATCCTATCAGATATATAATATATGAACCGACACTTGTTCAAGATTTAATTTAGAATATCCAAAATATTATGTATGATCGACAAAAATCATACCTGAGTAACAACAAGAATTTTTAATTTAAAACACTCTATTAAAGAAATTCAATATAATCAACAATTATTAAAATGCAAACCCACAAGGCAGATTTAATTTTACCTCGTTTCGTCCATGAAGATCTGGAACTGAATTATGAAATATCTAGAACGGACTCCATATGAGAAGAAAAGTCACCAAAGCTTAAAATATCACAGCATAATTACAGATGTCATTTGTTTGAAGATTCGTAAGTAATAAACTGTTTGAAAAATGATCTGAGCAATTTTAATCAATCAAACGTCAACAAGTAAATGGTAAGGTGATGTTCGTTTATTAGAAATAGAAACATGAAACACAGTTGTTCACAAATTTAAAAAAACGAATAATATCGACATTTGATGAATCGTTCTGTTTAAATTGAGTCAATTTGATTTGATCAGAATGTCGATAATATTGTGACAGTCATTTAACTTCATTACGATATGACTCCTGGAGTTATGGACAATAACCTACAAGTTATCCAGTCTATATAAATAATAAGTCATCAGGTTAGCAGCCTCCAGATACGGGGGATTGTCACAACACGGTGCTTTCTGAACACAAACAGTTAAGATAGCTTTTAATTTTGTATTTCACTAATATGTCTACTGAATCAATATATTTGTTTTGTTTTTTTGCAGTAAACAAAGGTTTTTTTTTTAAATATAAACAGTAGGGTAATTTCAAAGTTTGGATAAAAGTTTAGGTATTAATTTATCGTTAGTTAATACCACTTAAATTTTTAGTAAATGGTAAAGAAAGGGTTAAATTAATTGCCACTGAATGCCATGATAAAAATAGATAGGTTAAGTCATTGATGTTGATTGCACTTTCGTTCAAAGGCTTGTTCTTTGTAAGAAAACGTTTTAGAGACAGACTACTGAACACTAAGTTGACGATACAAGGGCATTATTAATTGTGATTAAACTCAACATTTCACAAATGGTATTTACTGCAGTTTGGTTGAGCACTGACTTTCATACAAAATGGTTGCCCGCGTGGCGCAGAAGTTGGAGCATTTGTAAAAGGGTAATATAGAATCGGAAGTTGTTTCTTACGTCGCGGGTTTGAATGTGAAGAAAGGTCTTTCGGATAAAACGTAAGTATTGACCGAAATCTCATGTCGTGGTAAGTACTGGTACAACAAAAATCTCATACTTTTCAAAGACTCTAATAATAAAAGGCAGGTTCAGGTCTATATAAATTTGAAGCTCTTCATCACCGATAAGTGGAATGTTAATATGAATGAATAAAAACAATCACACAAATAGTAAGACCTTTGTTTTGTTCAAGGAACGACTTATATCAAGGGGGTACTCGGACTCTGAAATTGACAGTATTGTTTCAGAAACGCAAACAATTAATAGACAAGAATTGCTAAAAAATATCAAGACTAAATCTAACAGACCGCCCTCTGTGCTTGTTACCAAGTACAATCCTTCAGTCAAAAAACGGGGGAAAATTTTACGCAAACACTGGAAAATAATTCAAAAGATAAACAATATTCTGAAATATTCCCGATGCCTCCTATCATTGGATACAAGCGAAATAGAAACTTAAATGAGCTCTTAAACTCGAATAGATAACATATCAATTAACAAATCAGACAATCTGTGATAGCGAAAAGCATGCCAAGCAGATATCAGGAAACAGGTGGCTGTCAATTACCCAATACTCTAAACAAACAACCAATGCGCTTTCTCTCATGCCACGTGCATTAACTCTCCCAGCGCAATTATGTGACGGTCGCCCCGCCCGCTGCAAACGAATCTCAAATGCAGCTCTATCTAAGAGCCGTTTAGTACAAAATGTACCACAAAACAAGACGAGCAAATAATTTAAGCTCGCATCTCAGAGAATATTAATTCTCCTTGATATTGTCTTATTCATTGACATATCCAAAACATACAGCTTTTTATTCACAAAGCTTAATTAGTGGAACAGTAACAATACATGTCCACTACAATTATCATTGCATGAAACACCATTATGCTAGAGATCTTATACAGCTAAAATATATTAACTTAATTTGGGTTGGACCTCTGATGAGTGGCAGACCCTGGAACATTCCTAAAATGTGCCCGAAACACCGATTCAGGTGTCAGGTCCTCTTCCGTCGGCACACGTGGTGCCGGATGGCAACTTTATCTTACACGGTGGCGGGTTGGCAACTTTATCTTATACGCTAATTTCTCCCGTTACTAGACTAAATGAATTGGCAACAGAGGTTGCGACCTGACGACAGAGGATACTCACTGCACTGTGGCACCAGATCTCTTTTCTGATGTTTTTGAACATCATTGTTTGTTGCTGCTTACAATCTTAATATCTAATTGGATTTTTGAACATAGATTTTAAAGACCATTCTTTAAATAGAAAGCCTGATTTAAACATTCATGTAGAATGGTAAAAAATATGTTGCATGTCGAGTTTCAAAACTAAAACATAATTTAGATTAACTACTGTGTCAGTTATTCTTTAAATGGTGTATTTTTAGGTTGCTGTTCGTAAATAGATACACTGACCTTTAAATCGTCTATGCCTTAATTAAAGATGAATAATTTTTTGGAAAGTGTTTATTTTTAGTCATTGATACATTCCGTAAACGTTTTCTCAGTAATAAGGAGTTCCATAATAAAGGTTTAAGTAAATGTAAGTCCCCCGGTGCATTGCCCTGAGATGTCTTTGTAGAATTACGTTCTAAAGAACACATAGGCAGTCATACCAACCTGAGTCAAATTTATATAAGTATCATGATCGTATAAAATGATTGGATTGTAAAGTCACTGGAATAGAAGAATGGTTTCTTCTTAAAGCACCTATAAAAAAGATTTGCTATCAACTAAGTAATAGAAAAATTAATTTAACAAACAAAAGCTAAGGGTAGAAGCATCTAAAATGTTCCCTGGAACAGTTTTTAGTTACATATTTGTGGTAATCCGTGTGTTTTTAGCCTTTATGTATGATGTTATGATGGCAAAAATACATACTTAATCAGTGTGTATAATTTTTACAAGCACCATATAATGTTGCGTAAAAAGTTTCATACTAAAGTTGACACTTTTTATCAAAATTACCGTTATTTGTAAATACTTTTTGCATAGCTACATGTAGTAATAAAATTCAATATTTGTAACGTAATATTTATAATAGTTTTATATGTTAAGTAATAAAGTTCTATTTGATCAGAAGGAATGCCATTACCCTCAGTAGTCAATGTTATTTGAAAAAGGTCAAAGTGAAAATGATCCAATTTTTTCCCTATTAATATACAGTATATTTTATCAAATAATACAAATCAAAAGCAAACAAGCACGGACCTTTAACCCCTTCCATGGCAAAGATTTTAAGCATTTGTAGACAAATTGATATTAAGATTTCAATGCATTTTTTGGGGAATTTCTGGTAATTTTTGAATATACCAATGTATTTATATTCTGAAAGCAGGTATTGTGTAGTTTCTGAAAATGATTATAAAATATTTCAGTTGCAATGACAACGAAATACACCAAAATCATGCTGGGATTTCTATTTATTAAATAATAAGTTTCATTCTAGTTTTTGTTTGTTTTGTTTTGTTTTTTTTTTTGTTTTGTTTTTTTTTTTTTTTTTTTTCGCTTAAAAAAGTTAGTTAAATATATTTAAAACTATTTTATTGTTGTGTTGATAATTATGAGCATATTGTACATTTTTTTTACAAACTTATTTTAAGTATTTTTGGGGGATGGGGTGGGGTTTAGATATAAACACAAAAATTTACATATAATGTGTTACCCCTGCATTGATTTCGATAATGGCAAAATCGCTCAAATAGTGCGCAAAGTTTTACTCAAGCTAACAAAAAAGTGGTACAAACAATAAAAAAATTCTATATATTATTTTAATGTAATTATTTTCTCTTTCCAACATTGCAAGATTTATTCTGACATTTCCAGGATTAACGAAGTTATGAATGTTTTTTCAGACTATGCTCATTTTTCAAGTCAGATGCATAGAAATGCGTTTATACCATGTAAAAGGATAAAATATCAGAGGTGGGAGCAGATGCCGTGGATAATTGAGCATCCCTGTCGACCGGTCACAGCTGTCATGTGCTTCTTGTCATGATTGAGGGATTACAGAAAAATCCGACGACAAATCAGTTTATAAATGAAAGCATAACAATTAGTATGAAAAACCCTATCCAACATTTGGCTTAAAGATAGATTGAATTTTCTTATATGGTCAAAGTATCATCCACAGAAATTGCAAAATGATAATTTTATATGAGACTGTTGATATTCTTGATCATCAGGTTGTTTTTCAATACCTCGTTTTAGAAATTGTTCATACGTAGAGCATATTCTTTCGTATCGAATCAACTGAGGGATATAAACCCAGAATGCAGTTAATAAGGGCATATTGCTACATATTAAAGGGAAGTTGAAAAGCTTTGTTGTTAGGTTACCAATAACTTCTTTTCTAGCAAAATATCCAAGTATGAAACAGATGTGTCAGACTCTATGATATTTCTAATTTCAATATCACTTATATGAAACATATGTATTCAAGATCAAAAATCCACAAAACAATACGAAATAGCTAGGAAGAGAACAAACATGGACCTCCAAAACATCAGAGGTGGGATCAGGTGCCATGGAGGAGTGAGCATCCCCTGCCGACCGTTCACAGCCGCCGTGTGCTCTTTATCATGATCGGGAAATAACGTACCTATTAATTTTACCGAAATTTTCAGTAATTAAAAAAATACGTCATACCTTTTATAATAAACATTGTGTTATTATTATAGGTATGACGTATTTTTTTTTAAATTTACTGAAAATTTCTTTAAAATTGATAGGTACGCGAACTCCTGTGACTCAGTATATAAAATATGGATATAACGCGTCGACATATGAATGGAAATAAATGTTGTTAATTGATAATACGTTGTCGGGATATCTAAATTTCAAGTTGAAGGCCACAGGAAATTTTTTTCTCATATATAAGATTTTGGACAAATTCTGATTTATATGAATACAAATAAAAGGTCTATTGATAATAGGGTGCAAAGTTATACCCGTTTGAATTCCAACGGATTGTTGAAAGAAACTGGCATTAAAAACCACATACATAGTGTCTTTTTAATATCAACTTCAGAGTACTTGTTTGTAGAATCAGTTTGTTTTTAACAAAGTAATT